CAATACTTTTAAGTTTTAACAACTACAATTATAAAACAATACCGAATACCGAATAATGTTGTGAAATTAAGCCAAAATATTCAATTTAAAGTTGGCTTCACCTGGCCATGCGGCCGGACCATTAATAGCTATTTTTTATTTTTAACGAAAGCAGTCACTATATATTTGAAGTATATATTTTACATATATGGAGACTGGAGAAAGGAAATCCAATAGAGGTCAAATAGGCAACTTACGGGATGTCATCTCCCATGGTTAGTGGTTTTAACAACTAGACCAAAGCGTGAGAATTACCGTCAATATCTAATTTTTAAGATATTCTTTCATTAACAATGGTGTAAAATTCGTATTTATCCAAAACAAAAAATTAAAGTTATTGGATTTCTTTTTTTTTTTTTTTGGGAAAGTGGGAATTTAAGCAATGTTTTCAAAATCGGACCGGTCATTGAACCGTTTTCAGGTCCGGTTCTCGGTTTGACCGGTTCAACCGGTTGAACCGGTGAACCGATCGGTCCAAACAATAAAGAAGGTTTGATGAGAGGAGCAAGTTATAGGCATTGATTTTTTTATTTGGTGTTGATAATTTTGTAATTTTGTTAAAGTTAAAGGTTAAAATGAGTATAAGAAAGGAATGGAAAGGGTGAAATTGAAAAAAATTGAAAGAAGATTGCATGAGAAATTGAACCGGTGGTTTTTTTAGTTTCACCGGTTCTATCGGTTTTTATCGGTTTTACCGGTTTTTAATCAATTTTTACCGGTTTACCGGTTTTTGACCGGTTTTGACCTAAAACGATTTTCTTATATGAACCGAACCGTTTTTATGACCGGGTACCGGTCCGACCGGTTCAACCGGCCGGTCCGGTCCGGTTTTAAAAACCTTGAATTTAAGAGATAAAAACTCTTTTTTTTTTTAAGTAGTTGATAAAAGCCAAACTTCCAATAAATAACATTCAAATACTTAAAATTAGAGAGGAACTATTTAATCCGAAAGTTTTATTCCTTATTGATTAAGAGCATGGTTGATGAAATTTGTAAGAGTTTTTATTTTTTTTGTATTATTTATGAGTAATAAGTTTAAATTTTTATTGAAAAAAAATTTAGAAGTTACTTTTAAAAATAAAAAAAAAAAAAAATAAGAAGTGAGTAAAAATAAAATTTATAAAAAAATATAAATTTAAAATTTTTAAAATTTACTGTTTAAAATCTTTTTAATGTTAAAAAAATAAAAAAAAAATTTTTAAAATAAAATTTAAATTTATAAAACATTAATAATATCAAAAAATTAAAATTCTTACAAATTTCATTAAACATATTTTAATTTTGAATACGAGGGCCAAATTGATTCGCCAATACGTTACGGTATGTACCTGGCAAAAATGGAGACCATGTCCAAACCAATAGCTATTGACTTTA